ACATGATGAATACAACGAACGCCTCTACCGGCTTTTCCGGTTTTCAACTCCGCATGGGCCGCTCCCCACGTATAATGCCCCCACTCATCGTGCCTCCATCCTCCGACATGCCCTCAGAAACGAAACTCGCGAGCGAGATTATCGAGTGCCTCACGAATGATGTATCCGAAGCTCAGGACAACCTCCTCGCCGCGAAGATCTCCCAGGCCGAACAGGCCAACCGTGACCGGCGTCCCGAGCACCTTCTCAACGTTGGGGACCGCGTTAAACTTTCAACCAAGAACCGTCGGTCGAAGTACAAGCAGAAAGGTGACTTGCGCGTCGCTAAATTCATGCCCAGATCAGACGGTCCATACACAATCATCGAGGCTCACCCGGAATTTTCAACTTATAAACTCGACATTCCCGACCAACCAAACATATTCCCCGTCTTTCATGCCTCTCAAATCGAACCTTACGTCGAAAACGACAACGACAAATTTCCTTCACGCAAGAACGATGAACCACCGCCCATCCTCGTCAACGGCGAGGAAGAATGGGAGGTTCAAGATATAATTGACCAACGGAAACGTGGGAAGGGCTTTCAATACCTTGTCCGATTCACGGGGTACGGTCCTGAGGGTGATCGCTGGCTGCCGGGACGGCACTTAGCAGACAACGCCGCGCTCGACCGGTGGCTGGCACGTCGGGACGCCTGATTTTCGTGGGTATTTTTTTTTTGATTACTTCTTTTCCTTCTTTTCTCTACTCATACTCTTCTAACCATACACTTCTCTTCGTGGAGGGGAGGAGTGTAAACCCGCTACGGATTTACTTACATAATTACGCGCCGTTACCGTCACGTCACTTATCTTCTTGCTTCCTACCTCCACCTCTGTATCCCGCTCGAGCACTACTTCAATACACAACGGTCCAAAATCTCTCGGCTTGTTTCTGTTTAGTGTTTCTCCCCTTGGCCCCTCTAGGACCACGGTGAGTTTCCATTGAACTCACCTAGGTACGTCCATTTACAGTTTTGCTGTCGTTCTATTTGGATAATTCCCAATCTGAGGACACAGTTCTCCTTGCAACAGATATTTCTAGGGATTGTTAAGACAGTTTCCCAGATTTCGACCTCTCCGCCGAGATGGAGGGGATTCATCTGATTTCCCCGCCAAATCACCCACTATATGGCAAACAGTTTTGTGAACGACAGAAGGCATATTTGGACAAGGTTAGGAGACAAATGTTCTCTATTCCACCAGCACTACATTTTGTTAAGACATAATTTTATTATCTAGCCTGGCTGTAAAGATACAGCCCAGGACGGCGTACACTGTGTACCATCAAAATTTGATTAAACCCAGTGCCGAGCACAGCCACTGCGGAACGCCGGCGCCCGCGGCTAGGCCCAACACCACAAGTAGAAGCTGTTCCTTTCGCCACGTCTTCCCCCGCTTCACTACCAATGCCCATCCGTGTCACTGTACTCATTCGACGCCGTGCAGATCTCACCCGTGAGCAGTTTCTGCACCATTGGTGCGTACCGCAGTCGAGATTCGGGTAAGATCTCGAATCTATTACCGCAGGACGACCAAGCACGTTGCCATTTTCTCTAATGTGAAAAAAGTCCAAGAGAAAGTGATTCGTTACAACCAGGTAACGAATCATCCAGGTGGATGTACTCAACTCAATATTCTCGCGTAGTTCCATATCCTCAAACCTGAGTCGAACCAGTTGGCTACGGCTGGTTTCCCCATGGCGGATTTTGATGCGGCTGCCGAATTCATCGTGGAGCACCTGGACGATCTCATTGAAGTGTTGAAGGACGAAGAGTATCGTCAGGTAAGTGTTTTCGGCGAATGCGAATTGAACTGAACCTGAACTTTTACGAGACGGTGACGGCCGACGAGCCCAATTTTTTGGACCACTCCTCGATTCAGGTTTTGGTTGGAGAAGATCACATCCAATATGAGAAAGCGTAGAATAGAGTCTCTGGATAATTGGGTGGCGCTTTGTACCAAAATACAGTGCTCCTGGCTCCGTAACACAACGATGGTTGATTTATGCCAGCGGAGGTCAAATTTCGCGAAGTGATTCAGATTCCCATCCGACTTTTACGCCTAAGCTGCATAGATTGACAGGTGGATGGACAGGCGGATGTGTGAGCAGCAAATACCACCTGCTGGCTCGCCCGGGACTTTGTTACGAGGACGATCACTGCAGAGACCGCGAGAGGTGCAGGTCGAGAAGTCCGTGTAGACTGCTCGGCACTTATAGCTGTTAACGTCCAGAGCGGTAACTGCATCCGAAACCTGTTTGAAACAAACTTTCCAGTACGGGTGAAAATTGCAGCGCCGACTGGAGATACTACATGCGGAGGTCCCTGTTCCAGAATGTGAGCACAGAAGGCTGAATGACCTTTAGGAAGAGCGAGGTGTCCATTCATATGGTCAGCGAGGAATGCAGTTCAGGGTTTGCTTCGAGCGAATCACGTCAGTAATAAATTCGGGCAAGGAGAAGACAGTCCGTCGGTGCAACTTGGTATGAGAATCAGAACTGTCGCGTTAAAGCAGCTCGCGGTGCTTCACCTATGCTCGCCGCAGGCATCGATGCCCCAACTCCACCCCCTCAACATCGTTGACTGGTCGTTGAAGCTTGTATAAATCCCGTTCTCGAGACACACTGGATTGGGAGGGGACAGGAGCATTTGACGAAAGCTTGAATCTCGAAGGACTCAGAGCGCAGGTAAAGGAGATTGAAGTGGAAACAAGACCTTCCCGGCGTCGATGAGGGGAGAAAGCAACGAAGGATGGAAGGAGTTTCGTACTTTGAGCCCCACGACTTTGACTCCACGTGACGTTGCCGCTCGGCCTTGACCGGCAAAGGCTCGGCACTGTGCAAGGCGATTAAATCTCCGCAACCGCACAGAAAATACAAGTCCTGGTGGCATATGATGATAGATTCAATTCGAGAGGGCAGACTAGACTTGGGGAATTATTTTAAGGCAAGGGAAGGGGTGGTTCAAGGCAACTTGTGCATTCAAATACTAGTTTAATAGACTCCAAAAACAATTCAAGACGCGCAGACTGGTCACTGGATATCTCGACGCGTCAGGACTACAGTCAAATGCCTAGAGGTAAGGGATGGTAAAATGCTGTCGTGCCCGCATGAATGACGCGTAATTGCGTACCCCGCCCCCGGATATCCGAATGTAATGCGAATCATTATGGCCAAGACCAAGAGCTTGAGGAGACTCACAAGCGCGCTAACAAGATGTTGTACGCCGCCCGCCGTGGGGCCAACATCCGCCCCATCCATAGGACGATCGATTCCTGCTGGCCCCGCGCTATGCCACCGCCCTAATCCACGTCTCTGGATTCCGGACGCCGGGTCGACAAGCAGGGCAATGAGGAGGAGGCGACCAGGGCGCCACGAGAAGTGTGTAGGGTGCCGGGGAGGGAGGGGGTGAGGACGGCGAGAGGCGGGCACCGAAGAAGGGGCATGGTGGTGGTACGAAGGAGAGTGGGCCAGAGAACAATGAAGATGTCGGAGCTTCAAAATACTGTGATCTGGCCGATATGCCGCTCACGTGCGTCTCAAAGTCGTGGGGCTCAAAGTCAAGAATACGAGAATACGATTTTATTGGTCAGCTCCGTCTCAATGAGACTCCGGTAAATAAGTATAAACAAATCTACCGCGCTAACTCGTCGTAAACTGTGGTGGTGGTGGGGAATAAATGGAGCAACAGGAATCGTGAACCGCGAGTAATAGACATTCAAATCACCTTTTCCGATTGAACATCCCTCGAAGCTTGGGAAGAGCTTCATCAGCTTTATTACGGCGCGTTGGGGGTTGGGGCTCGGCTGAAACAGCAGACAGCTGGCGCGAGTCTGCTACCCCGGGGCTGGAAATCGATGAAGGATGGGGAGGGGTTGAGACCGCAACAGGGACAGTCTCGGGATGCACAACGGAGACGGTCGAGGCGCGATTGCCCGCCATGTCGTCATCGATGACGAGTCCGGACCGCGGCTGTGGAGCAAGGGATGTGTCGCGAACGGTTGGCGTCGGGGCAACCTGCACAGGGAGCGAAGAGAGCACAAATGGTTGAGCATGCAATTGTAGAAGCTCAGTGACCACTTGACTCTGCTTGAGGAGAACAGCGGAGAGGTCGTTGAAATCTCGTCTTATCAGGACGAGTTCCCGCCATAACGCTGCACTGCCGGAAGCCGCTACAGGAGGCGATGAGACGGCCGGGGAATGTCGCTTGCGAGCTAATCGAAACCTAGCGCAGGCACCTCTGTCCCTTGGATCTGGACAGCGGAAGGGGGCTGGCGGTCGATTTGGAAAATGATGAGGATGTCGAGGCGTATTCGAGGGATTCATGTGAAGCTGCTGCTGTACCCCGACGATGGTGATGGTGTTGGTGGTGGTGATATTATCTGCACCGATAGGAATGTCGATGCGTACAAGACTGATGGAAGGCGATGACAATCACACGCAAACAGTCTCGCCGAATCCTGCCGTCGAACGAACAAAGACAACCGACAAAAATTTCTCGCATTGAGTCAGAGCCCACGGTCGTTGTGAGAAAATATCCTACAGTTTGTACACCAGCCTAAGGCTGAAGAAATGTGACTAGTACTTGAACCCAACCCACGGAGCCAAGTTACAGCTGCTCGGTATTTTTATCTCACCCCGTACAAAGTACACCACTGAGCTTGAAGGGAACCTCACTCTTGTGTTCAATGACGGCGAATGCTCTGTGCCTAAACGATAAATTTAATGAAAATGACTTAGCACAATTTTCTCGATTTGAGATGGTCGGCTTGTCTTGAAAGAAAGCAGCACAGACCTCTTGGCTCAGTGGTAGAGTTTCCGGAGACAGAAGCTGCTGGTGTGTTACTTGTAGATGGTCGAGTTGTCTTGAAAGAAAGCAGCAGGGACCTCAGCAGAAGCTGCTGGTAGCTGCTGGTGTGTTGCTTGGAGATGGTCAGGTTGTCTCGAAGGAAAGACACAAGGACCTCTTGGCTCAGTGGTAGAGTTTCTGATTCCAGCGATCTGCGAGGTTCCAGAAGGTCGTCCGTTCGATCCGGGCAGAGGTCATCTTTTGTTGCTGGGTAGCATGTTTTTGTCAAATCAAGCCAATTGGGCGAACCTTCCTTTTTGGGACGATAGGCCGACTTGGCCCAATTGGGCAACCACGATCGGGCCTCTTGGCCTTCGGTGTCCTCCGGACACCTTCGAAAGACTGAAATGAACTGTCAACCTGTCACAGCGATTTTCTCTGCCTACTTTGGGAAGTGGCACAAGGCGCCAGCCGCTGCCGACGGCAGCGGCTCGGGCGGACGGTTGAAGAATTCACCCTTCCACGGAGCAAGTCTTACAAGACGTGGTGGGTCGCGAGCCGTCGCTGACCTGCGGTCAGCTCCGGCTCGCTCCCTAACACCCTTGTCCCTTTTGCACGCACATTATGATACCAAGTTGTCGATAAATGATTGAACTAATTGGCGACGACAACATCAACTCGGGATGTGAACTTGAGCCAGGCTTGGTGGCCACTGACCTTCGGACCCCAGGATTAAACCCAATCGAAGCGGGAGTAAGTTGAAGCCTATACCCTAGACGCACAACATACAAGTGGTACGAGGTGGAGGAAATATTTTCATTGACTGGCTTCGCAAGTCGAATATTGCAGGAACGCGTAAGACACGCGATTGATCAATTTCGTACAGAATTACGTTGGAGGGACCAGAAAGATTGGAAGTAGCACTATCTTCATGATCTTGAACATCCTCAAAATGCCCGAAATGAGGATGGACCTCGACCAATCTGAGGATGTAGAGCGCCTTTGAACCTGGTCCCTAATATACGTGGTCTGGTTTCGCCTTGAAAGCTGCGAAGCACATTCATGGAATTGCAGTTCAAACCTCTGTTCGACCAATCTGAGGATGTAGAGCGCCTTTGAACCTAATTAATGTACGTGGTATGGTGTCTGGTGTCGCCTTGAAAGCTGCGGAGCACATTGAAATTACCCATGAAATTGCAGTTCAAACCTCGGTTGACTTGACGGACACATCTAGATCGTGCTGCGGTAGCTCAACCCTGGAGTTTGCACGTAAAGCAAGGCCGGTACCGGAAGGCGGTCGAAACCGTTGAAATGTGTAGTACGCTTCAAGTGGAGAACCGTCCATTTCGAATCACTCACAGGTCTCAAACCAATTCCGAACAGTCGATTGGATCGCTCTATTGGACGTCTACTACAATTTAGGCGTCATTATCCCGTATCCTCTTGTATAGATTAATGATAAGGTCATTAGCTGTGAGCGTTATGATACTGAAGGGCAATCAGTAGCATTCGGAGGGCCAAAGAAGCAGCAAACTAACGTGTGTGGCGCAATCCGCAAAAAGTGTGCCGTCGAGCCTGTCGTTGAGATTAGAATACTGAAACCACTGAGGATGGCGTGAGAATCACCCTTGTACCACCCTCGTACACCCTCCGCCTTGGCCGTCTTCCACAGGCAATCTATTGGGTTTTTGTACAAGGTGCCGACCATTTTACCGGTGGGCCCGAGGACGGTGGGTTGGTTGTACATGCGCGTTAATGCCTAAATCGACGTCAAATGAGATGAGAAAACACCACTTGGAGGAAATAAATGTACGGTATCCGCGGGTTGCATAACCAGGCACTGGAAAATATGAGAGCGACATCATAGGTTGAACGAAAATTTTACTCACAACACACACACCAGACACGGCACTACTTGCCAGGAACGTCCATGTGCTGTTGGCCGGCAGTATATCACGGCTCACCAAAAGGTTCTTGGTGAGGTTGTAGCTTGGTAATTGCACCTATGTCGGGTTGGCCGAGCCCGAAGCGCCAAGATGACAAACACGCGCACCGAAGAGCCCATGGATGTCCGCAGGATCGCGGCATCTATTCCCCGAACGAGGCCACGCACACCCTCGGCGCGAAATATAGTGGACAGCGCATGGAACGAGTTTTTGTAGTAATGTTGCGCGCCCACTGGGAGAGCGGGGGAGTATGCTTGCATCCGAGCTTTGATCAGGAATAGCGGATTGCCCAGCGAGGCTATAATTCGCGTGGTTAATGCGCGATTGAGTACTTCGCGCGGTGCTGACCTCCGACTGCTCCACTCGTAGCTCCCGCAATGACTGCGGTCGAGGCCAGCTGTTCGTCGGGTCTCCGGCCGATGAGCTTGTTGATGTTCCGCCGAAAGGGTTCGTAGAATCCTGCAATACAGTCTGAATTGGATGCAGGATAACTGAGCGTGGTGCATACCCAGTCGGGAGCCGTTTAGCAGTATCTGCAAGAGTCAAGTGGGGTCGAAATTCCCAAAACATCACGCACTTGGTACGCATACTGAGGGCCGGTCAGCAAACGAGGAGGCGCACGAAAACAGTGCGACGTGCCGCAGGACCCAACCCCCGCTGCATTCCCCGGATGCCCTCATTTTTGTACGTCTTGGACAGTACATCCAGAGCGTTCTTGTACACCTTTTGTGTTCCCGACTTTGCTAGTTCGCCTTGAAGCTGTAGACGCGTCTTGGCGACTTCCGCCGGGTTGGACACGGTGACCTGTGATCGTTAGCAAAATTTTGGAGCAGGGTTCGGCAGCGGCTCACAGCAATGCATGCTGCAACCCCGCCACACAGGAATCCCTCCGCCGTCGATATGGGTCGGCCTTTGAGGGGTACCGTGGACGACATGAGGGGGAACGACGAGTAAGGAGCGGCCGACGAAACTCGGAACTCGGCGCCGAAGACCAAAACGGGACTTTTCCGTCACCCCGATGATCTCAAGTCGATGAAGTACGGGCCATTTAGCGCGCAGACCGTCGTCTTCGTCGCTGTCCTTGCCGTCGTACTCCCCACAATATTCCGTATCGTCTCCAATCCCTTCACCCTCCTCCTCATCTCCCCCTTCGTCCTCGCGCTCCTTGGTGTGGCATTCCTGGTCCTCAACGTCCTCGTGAGCCATCTCCTCGACGCCAGGGCCCCCGCCGCGCGGAATAATCTCCAATATGCGGCCAAACCGTTTGTATTCTCGAGCCCCGCGGCGTGGCAGGCGGTCTTGATACGCTCCCAGTGGTCCCAGGACAGCCCGCAGTCTTTTCCGCCCCTGGTCCCCAACGCACCCGTTCTTTCCGGCGCAATAAATGATATTCTCATTATGATTGTGCGGGACTTTGTCCTCGTGTGGTACAAGGACCTTTCTACGTCGCCGTCGTTCCCTGTGGCCGTATCGGCGGTGCTGCACAAGTCGCTCGAGAATATCCTCGACCGGGCAGCCGCAATCGACCTCTCGGAGCTTGTCGTGAAGCGCATCCTCCCAAAGGTCACCGCACATATCGAGCAGTTCCGCCAGTCCGAGGTCGCTCTCCGTGGCGCTGGTCTGGAACGGCGGTTGACTCAGTCGGAGGAGCTTGACCTCCTCCTGGCGAGTCGGTACACAAGCAAGAGTGGCGGGAAGTTGCATCCCTCGGTCGATAACCTGTCTACTACTTTCACCAAGCAGACGGAGGAAACGCATCTCAGGCAACTGGTGGAAAAGGCGCTTCCGTTCGTGTTGCCGGACAAGGAAGGAAAGAGCAAGGTCCTGAAGTTGGTTGTGCGCGAGGTTGTCGCGTGCGCAGTATTATATCCGGTCATGGAAATGGTGTCGGATCCCGACTTTTGGAACAAGGCCATCGACCAAGTGGTGCGTGGCTGAATACAGGTTTAAACGACGCTCTAATACCCCATTACAGGCTGGTGCTGCAATCCACGAACAGTGTGTTCTCTCAGTTCAGGCGATCTCAAACGCTCATCAATTTCCAGAAAACTCATCACCAAAGTGCGGAACGTGCTCGAGGCTCAGTCGCCAAGACCTCACCACCGCATGTCGACCGCTGCACCGGTCTCTGCGTTACCCACCACCGAGACCATAACAATCCGGACCGACGCTCGCCAATTCGAATCTTTCCTTCGCAGTATAAACCGGTGCTCTTCGCTTTTGGACGCTAGACGGCTGAAAAACGACGTAGTCGGCGAAATCAGGAGAACGCGACTATCTCTTGGTGAGTCTTGACTCGTTCCTGGACTTTCATTCTGACAGAAAACAGCCAATCACGAAAAGGAGGACTGGATAAACGGAGAGAAGACGGAAGATGTGGTCGCTTTCTTGGATAGACTTTATACAGCCAAGCGGAAAGTCGAGGAACGAATCGTCGTGCTTGGTGGAGGGGAGAATTCGGTAGGTGACTCTGTCCCCCGATGTGTCCTGAGAGTTAACATTGACTCAAGGAAAGACAATCGTCCTATCAAGAACCAGGTCCCAAGTCCGTGACCCTCCGTGACGTTTTGCAGAATCCCAGCTCCTTATCGTATTTCATGGAGTTTATGGACCGCCGGCAGCGATCCTTACTTGTTCAGTTCTGGTTGACCGTGGAAAGCTTCAAGAATCCGCTCGAGTCCGTTGATTCGAGCTCCTCTGGCGACGAGGACGAGCACATCCAAGATGCTTCGAGCTCGGTTACTGTGAAGGAGGATATTTCGATGATATACGAGCTCTATTTCTCAACGCCTACCCCTCATCCGACGCTCGCCTCCATCCCAAAGAAGCACGTCCAACGAATCCGGGACTTTGCGACAAGCGAACAATTGCCATCCCCCGCCACCCAACGGACAGTTCGCAGGAGCGTCATGTTGGCCCAACGACAGGTAGAGCGGAACATGGAGCACGACTTTGAGGACTTTGAGCGCTCGGAACTGTGGTTCCGCGCAATAGGGGACACCGACTTTGGACGTTCTGCTGCTGAACGGAATTATTCCCCGGAGCCGCCAATGCCCTCACTCAAGGATCGACGGTCCGTCACGTCACCGGGCCTCGCAAATCTTCATGTCCGTGCCCCGTCTCCGCTGAAGCAAACCCACGGGCATCCGCATATGATGCCTCGATCTGAATCATCGCCCACCTACGTTCGGCAGAGGAGCGCCAGCGGCGGGTCACATCGGTCCACTGGATCCCAAACGCACATACCAACACATCATTCTCGGCCCTCGAACATCGAGGTTCTCATGTCCCCCGCCTTCGATACCGCTGCC